AGAAGCCACAAAGTAATTTCACCATTTTGTCAACAAAAATGTGACATTTATTAAATCAACAGACGATGACTTTGAACCTTTTCATGAGCACATACATTCCTCCACTCAGCACCGCCCTTTGTCCCATCAGCAGTCACAGCACACAGCGCTCGTTAGCCTCACACAGCAAATTTTTTTCACGCCCTCAAAACTGAAAGTAGCTTTGGACACGACGCCCGTTCAAACTGAGAAACAAAACGAACATGTGACATAAAGCAGGAGCCAGAGTTAATTATGCACATTCTTATTGTCAATTCAGTTCATTTAAAATGACCCTGAGCAATAATCTGTGTAAACATTTCTACATTCGCTCCGAACTCATAAAATGGAGAAAAGAAAAGGTCCGTGCCGCCTCTTCCGCGTGACGTGTTCTCCATCCTCGCTCAATATATACAAAGAGGAAATTCAGTTCAATTTATAGGCATGCTGGTGTTCTCGTTTACATACTGTACGTTGCTGTGCATATACATGGAATAAACATGACACCAACTGTTCTCTGAATCTGTAGAGATTCATAACACTGCTTTATTTTTTAAACTTTACTCTACTATGCAGTATGATAGACTGTAATAGAAATATACTTCATATATAGTTATATACTGTATTCAAGGAGTGCATTCAGATTCTCCAGCAGTAGATATGTGGGGCTGTTCTGCATATACTGAGGACGACCGACGTGCTAAGGGAAGGACAGGGAGCAGCAGAGGTCGTTCTGAGCTAGACTCTGGATCAGTCTGCACCACTCGGCCCTCTTCTGGGTGATGTAGGCCGGGGTGATGATTTGCACAGGAAGGCGCGGCGAGCCCTCCACCCTGGCCTTCTCACACAAGGCCTCGGCGATGCAGATGACATACATGCCACAGTCATAGCTGTTCTGCTGCGATGGGCAGGGCTCCTCCACGAACAGCGATTTCCTCCCCGCGCCCAAGAAAGGCTCCAGCTTGCTGGCGATGCGCCGCGCGTGCAGGGAGTTGCTGCCGTTCTGAGAGTCATAGTGGGCGAAGTGGTTGGAGGTGTGGTGGTACAGCAGCAGGCTCCAGTGGGAACCTCCGGCCGTCTGGTTGGAGTTGTCGTTGACGGCCAGAAAGACCCAGCGGCGGGAGGCGAGATCCAGCGGCTCAAGGAACAGAGCTAACTCATCGGGGCAGGAAGCACACTTGATGAACTGGGTGACCTCTGGGCTGATGAAGATGATGGCCTCCCCCAGGACTCTGAAGCGCTCAGCAGCAAAGTACTCGAAGGCGAAGCCGATGACTTGGTCGTTGAGCCAGTAAGGTCCTTCCAGTAAGGACACATCGGAGCGCCGCAGCAGGCTGTCCTGGTAGCTCAGCACTACAGGATCCATCATCCAGCACAATCACAGAGTGTCAGGCTGAAAAACACACAAGTGATGAGTCAGACATTTAATCAACAACTGTTTTTCTAATGCTTTTGTTTTTTGTAATTTATCAAATATCATCTTAGTTTAATTTCTCTGGATTTTGACAGTTGGTTTGTAACAAATAGAGCTGCAACAATTAAGCAATTAGCTGTAAACTATTAACTTAACGGTCAACTATTTTAATTATCAATTAGTCATTTTAAATTTTGTTTAAATTCCACTTATCTATCACATTTTGTAGACCAAACAGGTAACTGAGTGACGAGGAAAGTTATTTGCAGATTAATATATAATAGAAATAGTTGTTGATCACCAGAAATAATCACACATAACAGGCAATTTGAAGATGTTAGAAATGATTCTTGGAAAATACTGTGTATCTTATTGACTATTTTTATGCTAGTTTATCCATCAAGGCTCAGTTTCCCATACATGGATTAAGCCTAGTCTTGGAGCTTATTTTCTGCTTTTGTCTACAACTAGATGAATCTATTTTTGGGAAACTGGCTGCCAACATTTAAACCAAAGAAGAAGAAGAAAAAAAGGAATGGTTTAGTTTTCTGACTTAAAAATCTAATTTCTATGTTCTGGTTAGAAAAGGGTTAACTTCTCACATGTCATTCACACAAATTCTCAACCCTTAAATGAATCCACACCCTCATCAGGTGTGGTTTGTAAGGACAATGATCAGACCAGAACAAAGACACTCCTTTGACCAGTAAATATAAGATGACACCTTAAAATGACATGATGCCACAGATGACAAAAGATGAGGACAAGCCATTGACCGGCTGGATGCTGCATGTCGTAGTCACGCCCTTGAATGTTCACAACTTCCATATTGGTCATTTAAGATATAGAAATTGTTTCAGACAGCTCTTGATGGGTGTGCCCAACAACCTGATCATGTCCCCCCAAATATCCGCCAACTTTGCTGAACCCTTCAGGAAGAGTGGGACAACAATCCACAAGCAACCTTGTTAACTTCAAGCATTGTAGATGTGTGACTTGTTACAGACTTTCTGACAGATGACTCCACTCTTTATCAGACCAGTATCATACACAGAATAGTGCGTACTTGGTTGTTTCATTGGTTCATTCTGTTGTAGAGATGCCACATGTAAATACTTTCCCCCTTTAATAAAAAGGATAGATAGGAACTGATAAAAATAGTACATACTGTGCTGATATTTTTGTCCAGTGTGGCTGGACAATTAATCCACTGCTTTCCTACTGGTGAAAATAACAGTCATTTGAGCAGCAGCTTGTTTGGCACTGGTCTTAGTTTGTTTTTAAACATCAGATGACTCTTTTACTTTGAAAGATCACAAAACTCATTCTGAACACGGTGATGCAAACACATCTTCGTTGGGTGGACTACACTGCACATGGACGTGCTAAAGTTTCACCATGTAAAGTTTATCTAACAAACTTACAGAACAAGCTGTCAAACTTTACACAGACTGATCTGTTGTGGATACACGTTGATTTGATTCGTTGATGATGTGGGTCGTTACCTTCTGTTACTCAGAGCTGTCCTACAGCACTAACAGTGTTATTTTCAGGTATTTACAGTGGCGTTTGCTCGACCATAAATCCACTGCGGAGTATCACATTACTGCAATGCGATGAGTTCATCGTTTTTGCCAGCAGGCAGCTCACTGCTGAAATCGTCTTTTCATTAGCATGAGCTAGCTAACCGCCACTTCCACCAGAGCTACAAAAAACTCCGCTAAACAGCGAGCTTGGTTTGTATAACACACACCGCGGACGGCTAAATTAAAATACATGCGTTTGACTGAATGTCCATACCTGTAAAAGACACATTCAATTAAAAAGTACCACGAAAACTGCAGTGTTGTCCCCCATTGCAATGACTAACGTAAAGTGCTTCTGGAACACCGTAAACATTTCGCGACAGTTGGGTGGAGACAAGCTTGCTTCTGATTGGCTCATAACATCCGGGTACTTGCGCAGTAACTAAACTGTCGGGACAACGATTTGTTTCATAACGTACAAGCACTGGAAAGATGTTTTTACTTACATTGACAGCCATGAAAGCGCAAAGACGAAAACACATGTAAAAACTGATTTAGTTATTAGTCATTTAGGAACTTAAAATGTACCCAAAGTTCGGGTTAAGGCTCACTTAAAAGGGTGCCGTGTTATAGCGTTGCGTCGCTGTCGTGCTATCTGGTGCCCACTTCCGGGTATTTCGTTCCGACCTCCCCCTCCGGATTCTCTCTCCGCCCCCCCGGGCGGCGTGAACGCGCACCATAGTGGCCGCACTGATTAGCAAAAGCAAAGAGGAGTTTTCAGCGAGCGAGCTGCGAAGGGCTGCCTTTTAATTACATCCGAACTGCGAACACGCTGGGATTAAAAAAAAAAGAGGAAAAATGCGCACTTATTCTGCGCGGACTTGAATCTCGAAGGACTTTGTTCTGGAGGCGAGCAGCCGGAGAGAGAAGAAAAACAAATTAATTCAGTGGGAATGCAGGGAATTAAATAGAGACTTAGTCCTTTTTTTTTTCTTTTTCTTTTTTTTTTGCGTGACTACAAGTGTGCGCGGCTCTGCAGAAGAAGCCTGACAAGAGACGAAGAGAACTTGAGTGAAACGTTGACTTCAGCTCCCGTCTGGAGGTAAGAGGGATGTTCGGGGGTCGAGCTGCCGCCGCCGCCGCCGCCGAGGCTCCGACGGGCTCCGGGGCTGGAAGCACACACACACAAGCCATGAATCACTTTAGGTGTTTAGTAACAAACTTGTTCCTCTGATCTCCTTCTCATTTGCAACATGAGTTTCAGTTGCTTTTAAGGTGTGTGTATGTGTGTGTGTGTGTGTGTGGGCTCAGTCGGTGCTTTTGTTAGTCACCGAGGTGTGTGTTTGTGTGTCTGTGATGTGTGAGGCTGTGAAAAGTTGTGGCTGATATGTCAGTTCAGACTGCAACTGCAGAGAGCTTGTTTTACATCTAAAGGTGCCATAAATAACCTTAAAAAAACGATAAATGATCATAATAGCAGCCACGTGTTACATGCAGGTTGCTCTATTCTGGTATTTAGATGTGATAAGACACATTATTTGCATTACTGTGATGTAAATGTGGTAGATTTGGACAAAAGGCTTGCAAAAAGCACATGCACCTACAGGATGATGCAGCATAAATGAAGGGAACCTCCACAGTTTCTGTCAATCAGGTGTTTTATATTTAGGTACATGGAGAAATAAGCAGATACGTGCAGGTCTGAGTGTGTGTCTGCAGCAGGGTGGGGTAAATGTTGACATGTATTATTTAGTGGAGGTCAGACAGCGCAGCTCATAATGCAGCGAGGGGCAATACAGTCTGCAAAGCAGCTGTAATTGCACAGGGAGGTCTAATGGGGTGAGGAAGCTGCTGAATCATGGGTGCACGTCTCGGTCTGTTAGTGGACTCAGAGTCAGACGGATTTTTTACAACACTCCTGGCTCTGTTGGAGCTTGAGTGCACCTGAATGGACTTTATTTTTATCTTGAGCCATTTCGGTGTTCATTCCAAGGCTTTGGCCTACATTATGTATGAGGGGAGGTTATAGTTAGGTGTGCCTGCAGAGGGACAGCATGAAAACGAAGGGGAAAGAGATGGAAAGCAACAGAGATCCCCGGCTGGGCCTAAAGTGAGCGCAGTTCATTCAGCGAGCCATCCCATAAACCACCAGGGCGCTCCTGACCATCTTTTATTTATGCGACTATTATATAACAGCCACATTAGATTTTAGATCAGGATTATTGCGGTTATCACGGCGAAACATGCTTAATTTGTTCTGCATTTTTTTGTGCAACATGTTAAATTGCTGTGTCCTTACGTAACTGCACAAAAAAAACGAAGGAAAATGACTTTAATTCATGGAGCTGTGAGGTTTTCCTGACCACTTTGTCCCGCCTTCAGATCAGCACAGGTGATGAGAGTAAAGTGGGCCTGTCCTGCAGGAATGTGAGCTCTGAGAAGACACAGCTGCTGCAGCATGAGAGGAGGCTCCTGGGCCGAGACTCCGGCAACTGGTCCCTGTTGACATCTGACACCTCACAGACCCTCTGTCTGCTATTTCTAAAGGACCGGCCTCAGTTTTGTATCACATCGGGCTGCATTGAGCGATATCGCCGACGCCACCTGAACAATCGAAGCTCAGATTTTAGTGTTTGCAGGAGACGGTTTGCTGCAGACAGTCTGCTTCTGTACTTGGAGAACTTTGAGGACTTTTAGGTAAAGGTGACAATGTTCTAAAGTCACAACAGCAATGCAAAGTTTAAACTTTTCTTTTCTACAGCTACATAATCTGCCTCTTAGTCAGCGGAAACAATTAACGACTTCAGGTTTTGTCACCTCTTACATCACGTCCTGCCACCCAGTCAGACCTGATGTGTGGCTGCACTCTGTGTTCTAAGAGTCCAGCTTGAGTTCAAACAAGTTCCTGATGTCTTTGAAATGGAGACTGTAGCCTCCAGTTGAACAAAGTTTCCGCCTTCAATCGATTTTTATTGATTGTTTCGGTTCATTTGTCCTTGTGCGTCTTGAAACATGACAGCAGCGACTGTATGTACCGGCAGGAAAACGTCTATCTTTAAGGCTGTCGATTAAACTGTCCTTTTTCAACAATAATCGATCAGCTGTTTGGGCTATAAAATGTCAGAAAATGATGAAAAACGTCGATCTGTGCTTCTCACAGCTCAGTATGACGTCCTCAAAAGTCCTGTTTTGTCCACAACTCAAAGATAGATCGATTTGCTGTCACAAAGGAGGAAAGAAACCAGAAAATATCCACATTTAAGAAGCTGGAATCAGAGAGTTTTGACATTGTGCTTCTTAAAGCTTCTGATTATCTTAATAATTGTCAACTAATCAATTAATCAGTTGATTGGTGCAAGTTATATACAGTATATTGGTGGCTGATTTGACTGCAGCATTACGCTGAGAGTTTTTTTGTGAGATATCTGCTCTTTCAAGTGACAAGAAACTACAGCAAAGGCTTCATTTAATAACAGATTTCTAACCGAACTGGAAAACGAAGGAAAAGCAGTTATTCAAGGATTCAAGGTTTCAAATGATTCAAAGTCTTTATTGTCATGTGCAGCAGTAGCAAGTCCTCAACTCTCAGTTCTGCTTCTGTGCCTTGTGCAGGGATTAACCTGTTTATAGAATACATTCATGCAGACACACTGACAGTGATGAATATGTAAGAAAAAAGTTGATGTGCAGAGAATAAATGTACAAACTAAAGCATGTGCAATATTTATGGTGCAGAAAAGGTTGAGGTCTGCTCATAAATACTGAGGTAGGTAGTGTTGAATATATAAATAACAGTGCAGAAGAAAGAGGGTGTATGAAAGAAGAACATTTAAATTAGATATCAAAGGCCTACCTGTGATGTTCAACCCTTAAAGCTTACAGAGAGCCACGTGTTAGAGTTTTTCATGGTGTTGTTCTCTTTGTATTTGAGGTAACAGTCTTCTGTGATGCGACGACGTCTTTGCAGCTCCCATCACCTCCCACCAGCCTCAAACATGACATCAAAAAATGACCCCGTCGTTGGCCCCCATAGGTGATACCTGCCAACCCGGATCGCAGTTTTTTTTTCTGTTGGTGGGGGAACACGAGTCACATGCTGCTGCTCCCACATGACGGATATGTCCCCAAAAGTGTCGCGGCCGCATGATGGGATTGTGCGCTGTAAGTGATTGGCATGCACATGAAGTCATTAAAGAGGAACCTGCTTGTGTTGCAGCGAACAAAGCTCCCCTTTCTTTAGTAGGCCATTATACGAGGCGGGCTCTGGCCTCGCAGGCTCAGCTTCCCCACGTTTTGCATTTCCCCTCATTAACTCACTGCCGCTAACAGTAGCCGGAGCGAGGTGGAGGGAAGAAAGTGCATTGTGTTTGTTGTGCTCTTTTTGCAATTTTGTTTATGTGAAATGACCCTAACTTGTTCTTTTTTTAAATTAATCCCTCGCAACGAGAAAGGCGGCGTACAAAAACAACACGGATTTGGCTGGAAGCTCGCTTTGAATCCCTTTAAATTAAAAGTCCTTGTTGTTTTTCTTCTGGACAGAGAAGCGAGTGTTTAAAACCTTTTTGTTTCTCTTTGTAATTAATTGATGAAGTGAGACGTGGACGCTCACTTGCAGCCTGATTGGTTGTGCGGAGGCTTGGGTGGACATGTGGAAACTTCTTATCAGTGCAGGAGGGATGAATTTGGCTTTTATTTTAAAGCACCTGCAGTGAGAAGTCAAATTTCAAAATGATGCTTGAGTTAAGGCGGTAAAGGCTGAGCATGATGGCATGTAGGTGAAATGTCAGATGTCAGCGGCCACGTTGCTGCAGGATTTTGGCGGCAGCTCACTGGAAACTAAAGTTGTGATTTTGCTGAGTTTTTTTTGTGTGTGTGTTGTGACACAGCTGTGACAATAGCTACCGGCCCCCTGCAGCCTCATGGTACAGACAGGACAGGGCCCACGGCTAATCTCCAGGCATGTGCTGTTGTGTAATGGTACACAATGCGGTCCACATGCAGAGCAGTTCGGCCCTGAAACCACCTCACGCGTCGGACAAAATGCTCCGTATCGCAGTGTTCAACGGGAAATAATCAAACATTCGCTTTGAGTCTGACAGCTCTACATGTGAAATTAAAACCTGCAGGAAGTGATGTGATGCATTGATGTTTTATTTCTGGTGCTGCTTTCAAGAGGACAGGAAGAAAGACAAAGTTTAGAGTTTCATCTCCGCGCCGCGCCGCCGCTCTTATCTGTGAGAAACTCTGACAGTTTACAGTAGTCTGTTCTCTGTCAGGATGAGGCAAGAGGGGAGGAAGAGTGGAGATAGCTGTGGCTAACTGACAACAAACAGGCCGTGATAAGGTGGATTCTGAACACTCGCTAATAGCCGACATTCTTCTGTCTAATCTGAAGCGTAGTTGTCGGGGCAGTAAATGAGCAGATGATATAGGCTCCTTGGAGATTATGCTGAAGTCAAGCTATTAGCTGTGGGGTTATGGTTTACAAGAGGAGCCTCGTGTTTTTGTCTTATGACGAATAATGACGACAAATAGACGTTCAAACGCTTCCAAATCTAACATCAGATCATTAGATTTACATCAAAATGTCAAGTTTTTGTGCAAAATGACCATTTGTGTATCAGACTTTGCTCTTGAGCTTAGTTTTAAGGCTACCTGTTACCACCCACTAAATAAATCATGGTAGCAAGATAAAAAAAAACAAATTTTATTCATTTAAACTAACCTTTAAGTTGCAAATATTGTTTTTTATGAGTTGATGCAATAATGTTGGTGATCACTCCAATTTAATATTGTGTGTAGTTTAAACTAAAATTTTTGTGCTGATTGATAGAGAACAAAATTAAAGTTGCAATAAATTCATTAAATAACTTAATTTTTCTCCACCTTAAATTCAGGAAAACAAGTTGAAGCCACCAATTATTAAGTAGTTTGTAATTTAAAATACATTTCATTATGGAGAAAAACCACATTCCTCAAACTCAGTTTTGTTTGTTGGTTGAACAGAATTTCTTAGAAGCTGTCAAACCTCATGAAGACTGAAGCAAACTGTTGCATTAATAGCTTTTGTTGTTGTTATTGAGCCTAAACATTTGTTTTTAG